GGGGGGGGGCGACTACCCGTCTGCTGTTGCAGTTTCCCTCGCCCGCTCTTCTGGCCGAAGTGCGGGGACATGCTTTATCGTGGCACATGCTTGCACCACGCGCTCCAACGGCCACATGGGATCGCTTACATAGACATCTTGCTTGTGCACCGTCGTTGGTTTAAGCAGCCACTGGCACCGGCTCTGGAAGACGTAGTGCCTGGCCCCCTTGCGCGTCTTGGGGCCGGTGGTGTAGTCCTCGCGAAGGCACTCCAGTATGTTGCCGTCATTAATGCAGTGCACTGTTACGTCGGCGTCGGAAATATGAACGGGCACACCCTCAATACGTTGCTCATTGCCGGAATCCTCACAGTACGCATCAAATGACCATATCCCGCCGTTAAAGGCACCGTTCCAGATACGAAGCTCCACCGTCTTTTTCTTTGGCAGTGGATACAGAAAGTTCTGGCTGTCAAATTCGCCAAACATGACGCCGTCGGGATTAACGAAGAGGACACCACTGGCCTGCGGATTGCTCGAAACACATTTTTCCATTGATTGAACAGGATACCAGGGAAGTAGTTCCACCTTCTCATCGTTAAGATCTCCCAGTTTCTCCTTCAGCATATCCACGCGTTCATGTGCGAGCATTTTGGAAGCCGTATTTTCACCCAGTATGAGCAGCTCTGATATGTAAAACTTATCTTTGGCAAAAGTGGCCTCAAAGATAAAGCTCAAACCATCCTCACCCTTCATCTCCTTTGTCAACCGCAGCAACGCCGCTGGGGCCTCATTGAAGCCAAATACAACGTTGTACCCAGGAAGGTAGATGTAGACTGCATTCTGGTATCCAATTAGAGCTACTTTAGTGCCTTGCATCCAAGGTGTAACCATGTAACTTCGGAATGCATAAGCACGACGCGCAAAAACCGCATACTCTAATAGATAGTTAGGCTCCGAGTAGGGGAATTGGGCGGACTCATGCAGATTCAAGCGCCTGATCTGTGCTTCAATAATCTCCGTCACCAAAGTTGGGTTGCGCTCAAGAGGGCACTTGGCCATAAGCTCCACATCCTTCAGCGATAATGACGTCTCCTTAGTTTGCCTTGCCTCAGCTTCCTGTCGCTGCGCATCGGCCACCGTTTCCTCAAGACTCTTTTCCCGGCATTCCACAACATGAATAGGTTCTCCTTGGAGATAACTCGCACAAAACTCGTAGCTCTCGGGGTGAAGATTCCTTTGAATGGGATCACTGTAGTCGACATCCCTCTCTTTTGTAATCTCCAAATCGTTGTCAAGAACCACGGCCATATCAAGCTTCAAACCATGCTGTTGGAGAACCGATTGCACATAATACGGCTCAAACTTATTGTGCACCACAATGTCATCAATGACAATACCGTCAAATCTGTTTTTACGCTCAAGCAATTCTACCAAGGGGGAAACATAAGCTTTGGGCGTAGCGCTGGATTCATTACCCTTGGGTTTCAGTGATATATATTTAAAGTTGCGCACTTCTGCTAGGCGTTTTGCCACACTTGTTTTGCCCACTCGGCGGTAACCCAATACCACAATGACTGTGGGCCTAGGCTTTTTATACGAAGGCGCCGTTACGGGCTGCATTGGGCCCATGCTGTTGGCGACGTTGTACTGCTGTGCGCGTGGCCTGCCGGGGTTGTATGACTGCATCGGTTGGCCGTGCGGCATCGGGGGCATATGCGGCAGATTTGGGAAACCTTGGCGCATCACAGGCGGCGGCACTTGGTGCTGCGGCATCATCATCATTGAGTGCGGGGGCCCAGAATAGTACGACTGATACCCGTGGAGTCGTGGATCTTGCTGTCCCATCCGCTGGGGCGGCTCCATTGCCGAATCCACGCCTGTATCTGGAACTGGCCAGGGCATTGCGTTAGGGTTGAGGGCCATGTAATATATAAATATATA